CAAATCACCGTCAGCGAGATTATTCTAATTAACACTCCAGTGGTCTTACTTCCTCCCCACATCTCCTTATAGTAGTTAACACAGGGCCTGGTGAATACTTCATGCTGCTCAGTATGTATTTTTCACTGGCCGATGGTTCATTAAACAAATGACCTGACATCTTCAGAAACCAGAATGACATCAGAAGCCTTTCACGGCAGCCCGTCTACTCCCCCCTGCTACCTTCACTCTGTGTGGTGGGAGGTCCTGGGTGAGCCGGGATGGCTTGTCATTACAGGTGTCGGTGACCTTCGAGGATGTGGCTGTGCTCTTCACGCGGGATGAGTGGAGGAAGCTGGGTCCTTCTCAGAGAAACGTGTACCAGGAAGTGATGCTGGAGAACTACAGTAACCTGGTCTCACTGGGTAAGGGAATTTTCCCTGTAGATGAAAAGGTTAGACGTTAGCATAAGTCAGCACCTGCCTCCCTGCATAAAAGCCGTGGGTCATCAGGAACTTTTAGCTGAATTTTGCCTTAGGATTGTACACATTGTAAATAAATAAGTGTTTAAAACTTCTTTCCCCCTATAGGCATGGATTTGTCCCAGGCATGGGACACTTAACATATTTGCATGTTAGAAATTCCCTCATAGTTAGGCAACATTTTCCTGCTGATCTTGTTTGCTCAGCTCACAGCAGAGAGCATCCCTCAACCGTCTTCATTAACCTGCCGCCAGCCTTTCCCAGTTCCCCCTTCCTGCCTGACGAAACGTTGTATAACCCACCTTTGAAAGGGAGTCAGCGCTTTCTCATTTTAAACAGGGCACTTGGTACACAGTCTCTCGGTATGGGTACCTGTTTACAAATATTTAGTCTTTACATTAACGTGTTCCCTCTCCTGTAGAAAGCCATGGATACTCTAGTAATCAAAGCTGCATGTTTATCATATTTCTCTAACCTACAACAACTAATTACATAGCCACACCCTACAGGTCCCTTGCTTTTCCCCTCACAAAGGCCCTCACATCGCGGGGGCACGGCTCGAGCACCCCACCGAAGCTCATTGTGCCGTCCCCTGAGTTTTCTGCTCAGATCCGTGATGCTTCTTTCGAGTCAAAGCAAAACCAAGACTTTTCTTTTTGTCTCTGAGCAGGACTCCTGTTTTCCAAACCAAAAGTGATCTCCCTGTTGCAGCAAGGAGAAGATCCCTGGAGGGTAGAGAAAGAAAGTCCTGGAGGCCCCTCTCTAGGTGAGTGGGTGGGACCGAGGGGCCGGGAATGGGCTTAGGCAGCAGTCTGGGTGGTAAGTGGACGGTGCGGCTTGGAGATGTGGTTCAGGAAAGTTTCCCCTGGGTCTCTGTCCTCGAGAAGTGGCGGAGAGGGGACACTCGGGCCCCAGACGCAAGCTTCCTCTTATTCTCTGGTAGTCACTTCCCAATGAATCACTCAGGAGCTCTTCTTACTTGCTCCTGTTTTCAGAGGAGGGCTGCACATCGGGGATTCAGTCAGCAAACGGCGTACTTAAGGAATGGCAGGGAATCCTTCTGACCGAGGCTCAGGGTATGTGAGAGAAGGAGCCAAGGAAGGAAACGGTGTCAGAAAGCTAGCCAGGCTGCGGTACAGCGGGCTTTGACAAGACCCGACATGGGACCGTCCATGGAAATAAGGAGTGTCAGCAGATGCTGGAGTTCTTGGTATTTCGGGAAAGTTGGCTTAACTGTGAAACAATGGAAAGGTCCTCCGATAAGGTGTGGCGGGAGAAGCTGGGCGAGTCCCCGCTCCGGCCCCGAGCGCCACCGTCAGAAAGGAGGGCAGCTGGTGTGGACGGAGCTGGGGCGGCGGGGGGAGGGGAGCATCGTGCTGATGTGTCCCCGTTGCTGCTGAAGGGAGCGGACGTGGTTGTGCGGGTCTGGTGTGTGTGGAAGCGCAGATGGAAAGGCTGGGGACACACCTGAGCTGGTGCCGGGACCTCCACTGGGAATGGCATCGAGAAGGGGCGGGACGAAAGAGGGCTTCAGTTACATGTAATCTTAGCATTTCATAGAGAGTAGATTCGTGAAGTCCTTGTGCAGTTGGAGTTGAACACGCACGGTCACTTTGGAAGCCTTGTGGGGATAGATTTAAAGTGAGGGAAAACCCGAGGTGGAACCGTCCCGGAGACACTTGCAATAAGGTAGGTGAGACGTTTCGAGGGTCTGGACAAAGGCACGGGCAGTGGGGTCCAGGAGGGAAGAAGAGGGGCCCCTTTGTGAAGGGTGAAGGCCGCGTTCGCTGCGGGATGGGTCTCACTGGAGATGTGAGCGGAATGTTCGGGGACAGGTGCTGGGGGACAGTTGTATGAGGTCTGTGGGAACTCGGAAGGGAGGTCAGGGAGCTGTTGGTACAATGGCGGCATCTGATGCCTCGAGCTGACCAGGCGAGGACACAGAGCAGAGGACAGAATGCCAGGAAACCTCACCATTTACGAGGTGGGTTAGGAAGGAAGACTGGCTGAGCCTGAGAAGTCATCAGAGGGGAGAAACGGGAGAGGCGGCTGACAGGGAAGTTGGGGACGGAGAGCTGCTGAAAGGGGGACGATCCGGGTTCAGATCCGCACCCCCTGCTTTCCTGGCCCGTGATGGATGGTGCGTGAGCTCCATGCTGAGAGAGGTGTTAAGGATGCCTCTTAGAGTTTTGATTCAGAACTAGTGCCGTTTCTAGAGACAAGGGGTTGGTTATACAGGTTGGAGGGAATGATCGTGAATTCAGTTTTAGGCATGTTGAATTTGAGTCGTCGAGACATCTAAGTTGCTATTTTGAGTGGGCTCTTGTATCACTGGGTGTGGAGAGAAGTCTTGCCTCGCGTATGTGTATGGAATAGAAATGGGCCCACGGAAAGAGTGCAGAACAAAGAGTATTAGGGTCCAAGGACTAAACCCTGATGGACCCCCCAGGACTGAAGATTATGTAGGGGAACACAAGTGCACAGAGGAGATTGAGGCTGGTGGGAAGGGAGAGGAATGTGGAGTAAAGCGGGGGGTCACCAGAGCCTAGGGAGAGGGCCGCTCAAGGCAAACAAGGGGTCACTGTGAGCCGCTGCTGACAGGTTGGTTAGGGGGGAACTGTCCAGCGTTTTGTCTCAGCCCTCTGGAGGTCGTGGCTGCTTTAGCGAGGTGGCTGAAGACAGAAGCCAGGAGGGGGTACGATGGGGTGATGGGCGGGAGGAAGGGAATGGGTGTGAGATAGTGCACAGAGCGGATGTGGAGGAGGAGCTCTTGTATGCACATACAGTTGTATATATCCTCTCATTTTCCTTTGTCCACTCTGATTACACAGCGCACGTTATTTTGCCCGTCACCTGGTGTCTGTTGAAACTCTCCATGGCCCCCTGTAGAGGGCTTCCTCTCTCTGTGGGGGAGCTTGGAGTGACTTTGGTTGTATTCGGCTTTGGATCATGTTAGCCCAGCAGGCCTGGTTTGGGCTAGGATTTTATAAATGGTATGATTGCTGATTCGCGTGATGGATATTGATTTAAAGCTGTACCTTTATCACGTATCCGTGTAAAGTCCTGAGATGGATCGCAGTTTGAGTTAACAGAGGAATCTGGTTGAATAAACTGTGGCACATTCACGCAGACTTCTTTGAGGAAGACCTCTGTAAATTCCGCTACGGGGTGATCTCCACAACATATTCATAGGTGGAAACACGTACTTTTAGCTCAGGAAGGAGGAAATACCAAAACGACAAAAGAGGTAGGGGGTGGGAGGGATGGGGTGGCTGGGTGATAGACACTGGGGAGGGTATGTGCTATGGTGAGCGCTGTGAATTGTGCAAGACTGTTGAATCTCAGATCTGTACCTCTGAAACAAATAATGCAATATATGTTAAGAAAAAAAAGAAGAAGATAATAGGAGGGGAAGAATGAAGGGCGGGAAATGGAGGGGGAGACGAACCATGAGAGACTGTGGACTCTGAGAAACAAACTGAGGGTTCTAGAGGGGAGGGGGGTGGGAGGATGGGTTAGCCTGGTGATGGGTATTGAGGAGGGCACGTTCTGCATGGAGCAGTGGGTGTTATGCGCAAACGATGAATCATGGAACACTACATCAAAAACTAATGATGTAATGTATGGTGATTAACATAACAATAAAAAAGACAAAAGAAAGTGTCTATTAGGTTTTAAAAAAGGAGAGAAAAGCCTCTTCTGCCTCATCACCAAAAAAAAAAAAGTAAAAGTAGATCAATAAAAATGGTTACTGATGAAGGCAGAAAAGAAAAAGAAAAAAAAAAGGACGAAGAGAACAGCGATAGGATCTAGAATTGTTTAAAGGTGCCTTTTCATAATTTTGACTTCGGAACTATAAAACTGTTTTTTATAAAAGTATAAAACCAGAAATCAAATGAAAATGTCCATAAATATCGCAAGCAAAATGAAACAAATGACCCTAATTGCCTTTCAGGTTGGTGGCTGAGTCACATACAAAGGCATTTGAAATAATTCTTATCACAGCAGTTTGAATAAACTTCCTGAGCGATTTCTATCTGTGACATTTTGATTCATAATAATGTATAATTGGTCTTCATCTATTTCTGGCACAGAGCTCCTAAAACCCTTGGAATTTCCTAAGTGACGAGAGCCATAAAGGTGACTTGTTATGTCAGTGAGTGGCTTTTGGACCCCACCCAAGGATGGGCGCTGGTTGCTAGGGAATCAACCCTGTGGTTAGTGTTGGAATTTTCAGTCCCAGCCCCTGACCTGCTCCTTGAATCAATTGCAGGGGGCAGTGATTTAGTCCATCATGCCTGTGTAGTTAAGGCCCCATAAAAACCCAAAAGGACAGGGTTCAGAGAGCTTCCTGGTTGGCTAACACGTGAAGGTCTGGGAAGAGTGGTACATCCAGACAGGGTATGGAAGCTCCTCGCCTTTTCCCCTGAACATTGCCCGATGCTCTCTTCCAGCTGGCTGGTCCTGAGTTACATCCTTTTATAATAAACGAGTGATCTAGGAAGAAAAAAATTTGAGTTCTGTGAGCCACTCTAGCTAATTAATCAAAACCAAGCAGGGGGTTGTGGGAACCTCTGATTTATAACCCACTGATCGAAAGTACAGATGATAATTTGGGCTTGCAACTGGTGTGTGAAGGGGACAGGGGACAGTCTTGGAGGACTGAGCCCTTAACCGGTGGGGTCTGATGCTATCTCCAGGTAGCTAGTTGAGTTGAATTATAGGACACCCAGTTGGTGTCCAAGAATTGCTTGTTGTTAGTGTGGGAACCGCCTCTCTCCCCCTACGTGGGAATTGGTACACAGCTTTTAATTACCTTATAGGCAAAAGGAACTTCAAAACAATAGGCAGGCCAGATCTGAGGACCCAGAGGTGGTCCCCCAGGACCAGCCAAGAGGGTCCTTGGCATCGCACAGGGTAGAAATAAAACTCTAGCAAAGTTTATTGAAGATACAAAGAGAGGGCAGATACAGACAGTGTCTGGGAGACTCAGGAAAGAAGAGTGAGTCCCATCTTTGCTTAGGGTCTGAGGTTTTTATTGAGGACGGTGGTCTGGTGTACGTGTCCTCTCAGGCATCCAGGAACTGGCTGGAATAAGGACGAGTGCTCAGGTGTCCTCTGTAAGTCACTTACTTCCTGGAGGCAGGCGTCTTGGGTCAAGGTGTCTATATGGTCAGTGGTCTTGGAAAACGTACATGATGTACCTGAGGACCTTACCTTGCTCTGTCATTCCTTAGATGTTACCTATTGTGCTGGAAGACTCCAGAGAAATCATTAACCCCTTGACCCTTACAAGGAGGACATACACTAATGCATGCGTAAGATGGGGGCGTGGGTCGTAGCAAGAACAGAGGCAGCCAAAAAAGCAGTCCATCATGGGCTCTCTTCAGTTTCCCTGTCTCAGTAAGATTATGTGGCTGTGTTTCCGGGGAGAGTTCTTAGCTCTGAGAAGTGTGTTCTGACCTTTCATGGGTGAAATGATAGAATATTTGGGATTTACCATCTGTACTCTGTCGGAAGAGATGGAGGGGTGTGTAGGAGTATGTTCCACCTGCTCTATCAAGTACCACAGACCATGTGGCTTGAAACAACAGAAACTTACTGTCTCACAGTTCTGGAGGCTAGAAGTTCAAAACCAGGGCATTGACAGGGCCGTGCCCCCCCGAGACTCTGGTACGTTCCTCCCTTGGCTCTTCCTAGCTTCGGGCGTGGCCGCCATCTTTGTTGGCTTGTGGCTGTGTCGCTCCCATTTCTGCTGCTCCTGTC